ACTTGTTCTGTAATAGTTCCTTTACTACTGTGATCAAAATATCAAGGCCCACTACGAGTACAGATACAAATACAGATAATTTCGATGGTTGAACAGATACAGATAGTGGTGTGTTCGCTCATCCCTACTACACACAACTGCTTTTACTCACGAACATTCCCTGCCCTGGGAACACTTGTGACATGAAACATGACCTTGAATGGAGGGTCCAGGGTGCTACAGTCACCTTGCCTTCTGATTGGCTACACATCACCTTTGACAGGCAGCATGCCTGCTTATCCTTGAAAATCAGACCAAGATAAGGATTTCAAAGCCCGGATTTCTGATCCAAGTAGTCCTAATGTCATTCTGAGCAGACCAGAGTGTTTGTGATCAGTGTTGGGAATGTTACTTTAAAAAAGTAATTAGTTATAGTTACAGATTACTATGTCAAAAAAGTAATTCAGTTACTTACCGAGTTACAAGATTATAAAAGTAACGAATTATCAAGAAAAATAAATATTTTGTTACGTTATTTCATTACAGAATGCAAGAAAAATGGGTTCCCCTCTTAATTAAACTTAAAGAGCAAGTCACCCCAAATCAACTTTTTTCTGATAAACTATATAAATGTGTGTCTAATCGTGCTGCAGACATGCGTAGTCAATAGTTTAGCACATTTTCTACCTAAAACTGTCGGTGTTGTGCCGTTGTCAGGTAAAAACTCTGCACTGCATTTGAATTTAAATCTGCCATCGCTATTGGCTAAGAGGTACCCTAGAACGTTAGCTGGTACCATATGATGTCACAATGTTACTGAGAGCCTGTGTGTGTGTGTGTGTGTGTGTGTGTGTGTGTGTGTGTGTGTGTGTGTGTGTGTGTATTCGTTAGTGGCTCTGCCCTCTCGGTCTGCTAGGCAACAGCATTTGTGCATTTTTTAAACAGGATGTGGGAGTGGAGTAATACTCTGGTTGTCATGATCATTTCTGCTTCTCCTCAGTCATTGTTTTCACCTGTGCCCAATTCCCCATGCACCTGCCCCTCGTCTCCTATCACCCAGCCCCGGTATATATACCCTGTCTGTGTCTCTCTGTGTTGTCAGACCATTGATGTTGTCAGCGTTGTTTTTGTTCTCCTCGAGTTTCTCAGGTTCTTTGTGCCATTTGGATTTTGCTCCTCCTCCTTAATAAAAGGAATTTATTTTCTTACAACCTCTCCTGCCTCGAGTCGTTCTGGGGTTCAGCATTTTGGGTTCGACCTCCTCTTACCGTACCGTGACACTGGTGGGGGTGACTTGCTCTTTAATTTACTATAAATTACTACAACACCGAAATATAAATGACTAATAACTGGAACTACAAACAGGAACATTTCAATAATCTAGACTATTAAAAGGTCACTGTGTGATATGTAACAAGACCCCATTCAGCTAAAATTTATAATTGCAAATAGAAACACCTGTAAAAGTTCCTGAGCCTTTAAATGGTCTCTCAGTCTAGTTAAATGACTGAAACAAATGTCATTTTGCAAAGTATTCTAATGTTTCCAGCTTCACATAATTGTGTGTTTTAGTAGCATTTCTGTTGCTGCTAACCTAGTAATGGTTAAATAAATAAATGAATAAATAAATAAAATCCTTTAAAATGACACTAGAAGAGCCACAAGCCTGATGGAGAACTTACATTTACTAACTTGGGTCAGACCCAACCACAGAAGAGCTGAAGCTGGGCGGTAAACACACACAGGTAGTTCTGATAACACCTGAGCTCCATGGCGTCTGAGACTGATACATCAGTGTTACAGCAGGACTAAAGGCATGATCAGAAACAGGTTACAGCTGGATGATCTAGGAAGGTAGAAGGTGGTGACGTCTGAGCTGTGAACAGGAAGCGGACCTTCGGGACGTCCCGCTGTCACGCCAAGAAGGCCACAGCTGCAGCAGCGAATCTGCGGGTCTGCAGCCGTAACTATTCATCACGTCTTCCTCGTTCTTCACGGGCCGTGGTGCGCTTGGATGATATCCGCCTCTTTAGCTCCCGATCAGCTTATGACGACTTCAACAGACCGCGCAGCTTAACGCACGCATTTTCTTATCAGTAACAAAAACGGCGTTATGATGAAAGGAGAGGGTAATTAAACTGTTTTTTTTAGTAACACCGTTATTTTAAACGGCGTTACTCCCATCAATGCTTGTGAAACACCACACAAGGTCAGATTATCTGAAAATATTTTTTTCCACTGCAGTAAAAGTGTGCAACTTAAAGATTTTCGGAAGGGGTGGGGCTTGTCCAGAACTCAGCATGATTATCCTGCTGTGCGAAGCGGGCTTAATGCGATAACGAAGACATGTGTGTGTCATACCCCTTTGCATCCTCACTGGCCAGGGTGTGTGGTAAAGGTCTCAGCTGCAGGCTGTGACTGCAGGTGCAAACAAAAGGCTGCTTGGCGAGCTCGAGGTAGGCAGGAATGTGAATCGTTATGTTGATCTTGGGCCTCTTTCTCCCTACTCAAAACCAGTTGTGACCAGTTTGGGGGTGAAAATTGATGCTGGACTTAAATTTGATGCTCACATCAACTCTGTGATCCGGTCCAGTTTCTTTCACCTGAGACGCCTTACAAAAATCAAGCCCATGCTGTCGAGAGCCCACCTGGAGCGGGTACTCCATGCTTTTGTAATTTCTAGGCTTGATTACTGCAGCTCTCTATATGCAGGGTTGTGTCAGTCATCACTGCGTCGCCTACAGGTTGTGCAGAACAGCGCAGCCAGGTTCCTGACTGGGACCAGGAAACGGAACCACATCAGTCCGGTTCTGGCCTCCCTGCACTGGCTTCCGGTTTGCTATCGTCCACACTTCAGACTCCTCGTCTTTGTTTTTAATTTCTTCCAGGGTGGTACTCCCCCCTATCTAGCCACACCCCTGAACAGACATTCCCCATCACGCGCTCTATGCTCCTCTGACCAAGGCCTGCTCGTTGTCCCTCGTTCTAGGTGTCGTACTCGCGGGGACCGGGCTTTCTCAGTCCTAGCACCGTCACTCTGGAACCAGTTGCCACCCTCAGTTAGGCTGTCCCCATCTCTGCCAGTCTTCAAGAGTCGCCTAAAAACCCACCTCCTCCGCCTGGCGTTTCCTGAACATGTTTGAATTTGTCCCTCTTTTACGTTGATTTTATCTCAGTTTTCATTGGTTCACTTTTTCCCTTGTTTTACACATTTGTCTTCTACTAGAATGTTTCACCTTTTTTGTAATTTGTAATCTGTAATTTGAATTGCTTTTATTTTCTGATTTATTCACTTTCTTTAACTTTGTACTGTACCATGTTCAGCGCCTTGGGCTTCCTGACAGTGTTGCGGAAGGCACTTTATAAATAAAGCTTTGATTTGATTTGATTGAGGTAAATCACCACCGAGTCTGCTGCTTGTTTCTCTTGTCGAGGGTTTTACGTGATTATTTTTAATGTAGAAAATACAACGAAACTCTTGGTTCAGTCTCTATTTTATCTTGTGTTCAACATGTATTGGGGGCTTGTCTGGGATTTGTTAGAATGCATAATGCGATTTACAAGACTTGATTATTTCTTGGTTTAATTTTGTGGCACAAAAGATGAATGTGCAAGATGACAGACTGACATTGTTTCAATGCAGGTTTAAGTTAGCTTCCAAGCTAGGTGGGTGTGCAGAGCTAATTGAGGCGTCTGTGCCCCCTTTTAGTGCATGCTGGGAACTGGGGCGTGTTCTTGTTGACTGACAGCTCCCCCTTGTGGTTATGCATTTCTATTGGCCAACGCTCTATGATCACATAAATGATTAATTTTGCCGTAGACACCAGGAGAGGGGCTTGGGACGAATATAATTAATGAATGATTACATAAATCTTATCACAGAACAGGGTTCGAGTCCAATTTAAGCATTTTTTACGTTTCAATAACAATTCACCGAGCTTTTCCGGCAAACACTTTCTGTAATAAACAGCAATATGTTTTGTATATGAGAGTACGACTGGAGGAACCCATTTATCTATTGTGTTATTTTCTTAACACACGAAAACGTTTGTAAATAAGGTGTTAAAATACAGAAGGGGGTAATAAATAATTCATAATTACAGCCAAATGTTTCAAAGATCAAAACAACAATAAAAAACATTTGCGTCTGAGTACGAGGATGAAACCTGAAGGTTAATGATTCACTGGAGTTTGACAGAAAACCTTCAGGTCACAGAAGGATAATTTTAAAAGACTGCTTCAGTTTTAAGTTTTTGTTCAAGCTTGCCCGAGGTCTTAAAGGGTGAAACTTTATGAGCCAAATATGGAACCGATGCAGGCTGCAGTGTTTGCTCTGTTGCATATTTGAATGTATTAACATACATTATTCAACACTGACTTCCTCTAAAGCCACGTCTCTCTCTCTCTCCACCATCTCTTTCATTAATGTCAAAGCTAAATAAACAGAGTGACACATCACAATGCTCCATACAGTTATGCAATCAGCCTACACTGGAATCAATTATGACTGTAATTGACTGGAGTGCAATAATAACAATGCCATCGCAGCTTCTAATGTGCTCTGCAGCTTGTCGAGATCCCAGTTTAATTTATTTAATCAACAAAATAGACCTGATGCTGCACTCCGGTGCTTCTCACAAGCAAGAGCGATGATTGTTCTGCATCCTGGGACGTCACATTTTCCCGCCACCGTCAAACCAAAGTCGTAAGAGAGGGCGGAACACCGTGGACGAGGTGTCTCCCAGAGGACCGGCAGGTGCGGCAGTTTTTACAGCCTCTAATGGAGCTTTTACTGCTCATTTGTGTCCTTATTGATTCATGGTCCTTATCGAATCTTATCCACCTTTGCTGATTTCATCCGAGGCAGGAGGCAGAAATCAAATCAAGAACACATACGGGGCAACCCAAAATGCATTTTTTATGCCCTCTTGATGATGTGCTGTGGAGGGTTAAAGAGATTACATTTACCCAGAATTACATCTTCTCCCACAGACAGATGGAGCAAATGTGGTTTACCGTACCTTTACAATGTCTTCATTAGAGGACTTGCACTGCACAAAGGCTGAGACATCAGTGACTGCCCCATTCATCTCTATGGAGACCATTTTGACAGGAATGGCCACCGTGCGTCCGGTCAGAATGGCTGTGTTGATAATCTCTGTGTCCTACGGGGAGAAAAATAGACACGGCATTTGTGAAACAGTGAGAGGCGGGGAGTGATTTTCCCTGATATTTCATCAGCATCAGCGAGGTCCACGTTTGAATGCATTACCATCACGGCCCCCATGTCGACCAGGTGACACTCTCAGTACCAGGCCACAACTCATTTCTGTGTACTTAAATGCCTTTCATTGGATTTCATCAACTGACATTTTCATTTCAAGAGCGATTTTCTGCCAGTAAATGACTGGAGGTAACTGAAACGGGGCTGGAAAGGACAGAAAAGTAATATATTTTACTTTAATCATTCAGGAAAGACATTTATGGTCCCACATTGAGCTTCAACTTCAGACGGAGTTAAAGTAGGGACATTTATCGCCACATCTGAAAAAGAAACTTCTAATTATTCCACACCATATATTTATTATATATTATCAGAATATATTCCACACATGTTGTCATCTAACGTGAAACCTTAAACAAAACACCCTGAAATGCAAACAGCCAATTAGAATACACCCAAGTACAAACCAGTTCATTAATTTGTATTCGTTTTTTTTTAAGCAGCTACGATTTATCATTCACTGTGATGAAGCAGCCCAGGAGAGGCTGAAATCACACAAGTCCTCCAGAACCAAAAATAGTACGTTTAAATTTCTACCCAGCACTTATTTTACTGTCTTAATGAGGCTGCTCAGCATAAAGCCAGCGTTAGCCCTCCTGGGTTTATTCTAACTGTAAGGCAAAGAACTGCTCAGTAATCAAGGGGATATTACACAAACACACACACACACACACACACACACACACACACACACACACACACACACACACACACACACACACACACACACACAGAGCGCGGAGTATTGTCCCTTTTCTGTTTAGTTCGGCACATGAAGCAAGCTTTACGCAACGCTTGTATCACATTATCTAAACTGCTTTGGTTTGTTTTCATGTTCTTGTTTATCTCTGTTGGACTACTCGATATCCTCTTCATGTCAGGAAATGTTTATCCGGCACCCTGCTGAGGAATCACAGTCGTTTGTAGGTCTTTATAGGATTTAATGAGCACTTCTACCGAGGCTCGCTTCTTACTGACTTACATGAAATAATGATAAACTAGTACAAAGCTTTGGGGAACTCCATCAAACAAAATATGAACTCAAAATTTAGAGAAAATTCACAATTAGTGATTTTTGTCCTATTTAATTAGTTCATTGGTTATTGTAACGAGACCTTTAGATGCTTATAAAGGTGTTGAACACTCATTTAATCAGCGTTTCTAGCAGGAATGATTGCCTTGTAAGTCGTACTCAGGGGTGGGGGTGGGGGGTGGGTGGTGTTGGTGTATACTGGTGCACCAGTTCCAGGAACTGGAAGTTGCCCACATCACAGCTGAGCTTCAGACAGCAGGTTTTGTTGTCTTATTTCTTGGTATTTGGACATGTCGCCTCAGATAACAGCAATGTGACTCTACCACTGGCAAGCCTGGAGGAGCTTCTGCTATGTGGTGGAGTTGCTAATGCTAGTGTCTGTGAAGGTTCTAATGCTAGTGGTTAGCTTCTAGTATCTGAGACGCTCTCCTTGACGCTAAACCAACAACAGCCTTCCCCGTCGTGAGCGAAGATGGGGGAGTCCATGAATGTTAGTGACAGGGTGACGTAGGTCTGTCAGGCTTTTCTAATCCTAGAGTTTCACCGTCTGTTTTCTATCAGAGGCTAATGCAGGAGATAGGTGTAGGAGACTATTCTCATGTTCAGCCTGCATGAAACACTCAGAGTCACCCGTTAGAATCAGAAATAAATAAATCCCTGAAATGGGTTTTCTGTGTCCAACACCTTCAGACAGAAAGAGCACAAACACAGAAAGTCCAGTTATATGTTTCTATTATAATAAGAACTTAACCTGATTAAAACAAAGCAGCCTTGACATACAAAGTGAGTTTTTACATGGATAGAATAAAAAAAATCCATCTGCAGCCACATAATCAGCTCTACTGCAGAGCATTTCACAGCAGCTGGCCTGCAGAAATAATCCAGTACCTATTCACATATGTGTTATATGTGATCACATACGTGTTATATGTGATCACATATGTGTTATATGTGATCACATAAGTGTTATATGTGATCACACCACTTTCTTTCTGCATCTCCTCACATGGTGCTGTCATAGACTGCTTACAGTTTTAGATTTTTATTTTAGACTTCATTCTTACATGTAGCACCTTTACATCCTACAGCCGGCTGGACACACAGACTTTGGAAGAAGACATCCTTAAAAGTAAAGCTGGTTTAAAGTGGAGTTGGTGTTTTCACTTGATGTCTAATTAGCTGAACAGCAGCCAGCTGACTTCAGCTAGAAGGCATCTCAGGTAGGATGGAAGTGTTTTGTAAAAAAGAGAAGGTGCTGCTCCTTCTCTCCAAATTTAATCAGCTGAGATGGTCCAGGCATCTGATTAGGATTTCTCCTGGTTACTTTCTTTAGAAGGTTTTCCATTTGCACCCCAGAACTCACTGGAGGGATCCACTCTGGCCCAGGAACACCTAGGGATCACCCAGGAAAAGCAGGAGGGATGGTCTGGATTCTCCTTCCTGAATAAGTTACCCAAGAAAATGGATGGTGCCAAACAAACACAGCTGCTGCCTTTTTATGATGTTTTTCCATGTTTCTGTTTTTTCAGGTTAGGAAAGTGTGGCCAATTTTCCTCAGCAGACCTCTGCGGATAACTGACTGCACTCTGGGGCAAAATCCTAATTGAAAGACAACCTTCTTCAGCTCCTCTTGTTTTTTGGCATCTGCTAGACATCCTCTACATGGGACACTTTACAAATAAATAAGTGTTGCTATGGGAGATCTAATTAGGCGTACCTGAATCCAGCTTAGAGCAGAAAAACCAACATCACTGCACAGAGTCATCATTTTCTTTAATGATCAGGTGTAGAAAACAGCTAAACAAACAGGATCTTCCACTCCAGGTTGTAGACGCTAAATCTGAGTCCGACTGCTAAATAACTATTAGTGCCCTTCTCTGCATAAAGACCAAATGTTTTGATGAATTGTCAATAAAATAAAATAAATTTTATTTTCAGGAATCATTTGAATTAAGAAAGTTGTTTCTGAGGATTTCTTTTACTGTTTCGTAATTAATTCATCACTTGCAGGTCAGAGACAACCATTTTCTTGTAGTTTTTGTTTAAAGACCTCCGTTACTGTGCTCGGTCGCTACTGTTAGATGAACCGTGGAGTGAGAATCAAATAGTTAAACATGAAATTTAGCATTTGATGTGAGGGTAGGCAGTGTGGAAAAAAACACAGTGGATTTTTCTTTTACTTTGAAATCTTAATTTTATCAAGATGGAGTTTCAGCACCTCCATTGGCCACTCCTCATTCTAGTTTGCTGCCCCCAACGACCAGAATGAGCTGCAAAAATCACTGAAGCTCACTACATTCCATTATCTACCTTCAATAATTCATTGCAGTCAATAGTTTCTGATCAATGTGCCTGCCTCTGAGTACTTAAAGATTGTTTAATCTTGTTTTTATCTTGCATTTTTTATCTTACCTGTTCTTCTTTGGTGTAAAGCTAACTATGTGTCTGTTGCTGCTGTCTCTTGGCCAGATCGTTGTTGTAAACGAGAACGAGTTCTCAATCGACTCATTTGGATAAATAAAGGTTAAATAAAAAAATAAATACTCAACAACACAACCGTGCCATTGCTAAAACACAGCCACATGGCTGTAGCTGATAATTAGCTGCCTTATGCTAACATGTGCTAGTAGCCCTACGGTCTTGCTACAGCTAATTGTGTTGTAAAGTTAAAGCTAAAGCTGAACATCATCAAGTAAATACATCTTTAGCTTTAATGAAAAGACACTAGGGGTGTTTCTCAATGCCAAGGAACCTTGCCTTGATGTCTTGGCCCCACCCTGGTTGCTTAGGAGATACGTCATCAGGAGCCGCCAAGACGTGTTCCAATGTTCATGTTCTACCGAGGGTGTGTTCTCTGTTTGTTAGCCGTTTAGCTAGCTAAGCCAGGATACACGGGAGGAGTCTTGTAGCCTAGCCTTAGTCAAAAATTACCCAGAATACACCGCGGTATTTTCAAAAAGACGGCGAATCAGAGCTCCTCCTTGAACCGTCACCTTATCGTGGTGGAGGAGTTTGAGTGCCCTAATGATCGTAGGAGCTATGTTGTCTGGGGCACTTTGTGCCCCTGGTAGGGTCTCCCATGACAAATTGGTCTTAGGTGAAGGGTGAGACAAAGAACGGTTCACAGGATCTTTCATGGACGTTAAAACAAAGAGTCGGAGTACCAGGCCCGGAGGGTTACCGGGGTCCCTCCCTGAAGCTAGGCCTGGGGTTGGGGCCCGTGAGCGAGCACCTGGTGGCCGGGCTTTCGCCCATGGGGCCCGGCCGGGCCCAGCCCGAACCGGATACATGGGCTCATACAACTCTGGACCCACCATCCGCAGGAGGAACATGAAGGGTTCGGTGCAATGTGGATCGGGTGGCAGACCAAGGCGGGAGTCTTGGCGGTCCGATCCCCGGACAAGAAAACTAGTTTTTGGGACATGGAACGTCACCTCGCTGGCGGGGAAGGAGCAGGAGCTTGTGGCAGAGGTTGAGCGATACCGGCTAGATATAGTCGGACTCACCTCGACACATAGCATTGGCTCTGGAACCCAAGTCCTTGAGAAGGGTTGGACACACTCCTTTGCTGGAGTTGCTCCGGGGGAGAGGCGGAGGATTGGGGTTGGCTTTTTGTTGGCCCCAAGACTCTCTGCCTGTGTGTTGGGGTTTACCCCGGGGGACAAGAGGGTAGCTTCCCTGCGCCTTCGGGTCGGGGAATGGGTCCTGACTGTTTTTTGTGCTTATGGGCCAAATATCAGTTCAGAGTACCCACCCTTTTTTGAGTCCCTGGGACGAGTGCTAGATAGTGCTCCATCAGGGGACTCCATTGTCCTGCTGGGGGACTTCAATGCTCACGTGGGCAATGA